AGCTTTGTAGATAGCGTCCTACACTGGTTTTGGGTCCAGGTCAATGGGAAGAAGCGATTGACTGGAATCAAGAACGCGCTTCAGTCCACGCAGATCCTTGCACGCAAGGGTCCTTTGAAGAACACATGTGGAGCCGGTGTTAGGTTTGTTCATTGGATTGTGCACTTGCTGAGGGAATACACCCCTTTGTTTGCGGAAGCCGTCATCAAGTCCTGGAGGGAAGGATGCCAAGCCGCCCAAACTGTGACTTGTCAAATCACCTGTTCAGTTTCAGCCCTTGTCAGGTTTTTAACTAGCCGAATGTGACCTACATTCAATTGAGAACACTGGTTCTTTACCCTGGGTCTTCTCTTTAGGCTTTGCAGCAGTGGGTTTCTGTTTTGGAAAGCTTGAATGGTGTGAGTTCAGCTAGGGGTGTCCCAAATGTCTTGCAGATGCAAGACCCATTTACTTTAAAATATTGTTATCCTTGCAACCCCCATGAGGCTGTGTTTTTCAGCGTTCATGTAGTTAACCTCCAGAACCAACGCAACACATAGTGGCCTTTTATAAGCAACAAACAACGACGCGTGTAAAAACAGGACACGCAAATCCATTTGTGGGGGGGGACGGGCCTGGAGACGGCAATTTGGAAAGGGCGAACTTCCGGGTGAGTTTTGAAGGTGCCTGATATCCCATTTTCTGAGGACCAAATAAGCGAGAAAAAGCGAACCGCTCAAGGAGTTATAGAATCTTTCAGTTGTGGTTGACAAGGACCCCATTGTAACTAGTAAGAAAGGGTGTAAGAACTTGAGACGAGGCAACCACAGTCTTTTCTGAACAGTGACGACAGTGGCGACCCAATTATCTCTCCTTCTACATGACTTTTACAGACCCCTTGAGCTCTACTGCATGGACCTGCAAAGTGTGAATTTTACACCCAAAGATTGGCATTCATGTCTTTCTATAGGCACCTCTGTTTTGAACAACATTTGTTTTGTTGCATACTTGTCTCAAGCAGTGACCAAAGGTTTTGAGATACTAACTTGGCCAATAGTTTCTGTGTTGAGTTGGGACTGTTAACTTGCGGTGGTTTGTATGGAGGGCAACTGGCCATGAGTCAAGAACTTTTTTGGCCTTGGCATCATGGTCGCGCCCCCTTCGTTTATACGAGACCCTTCCTGTAGTGACCATCAGACGAATGAACCAAAACATCTCTGACACTGGGAGTTTCAACACTATATGATTATACGCAGCTCAAAACAAACTCACACACGGGTTAAAAGCTCTGTAGGCGCCCACGGCTCTCCTTCCCCAAGGACAGATTTCCACAATGTCGGGGCTGCGCTGTGCATCGAGAGCCTCTGTTTGAATGTCTTGATGAGACCTATGATGAGGACCTGTATATTTTATGTTTTGTCCAGTGGGTTGATTGATTTCAAGTCATGCAACCTTCATTGAGGGAATTTGCGCGCAAAGAGTTGGAAGGAGGAAAACATCCGATTGCTTTTTGCAGCCCCATTGCAATTTGGAAGCGACGAGGCGCCTGTCTGTGATCCTGTTTTGGACACACAGGGTGAAGGGGGCTTTGCAAGTGACGGCACGCAGTGCAAACAAGCATGTGTAAAAAGACTTGTAATTGGGTCATTCCAAACAATACGTCGAGGAGGATCCAAGAAAATACATACATAATACAAAATATGAATATAGCTACAACGGAGGACTAGTATGTTTTCTTGAACTGTTCCTTGCCTTTCCCAATGGCAGGCAAGGCTGAACGACGTGCTTCGATACCTTGGCACCTGTTCGCTTTTGAAACTACCTCGCTCCTGGCCAGCTGATTGGTTCTGATAGGTTTAAATGTGAAACTTGCAAATTCGTTCTGTTTGACCCACGTAGCACAGCTATGTGGCGATTAGCTAAATTCATTCAACTGCTTGAAGTTGATGGGTGGGGCACCTCAACATAAGCACTGCGCTTGTGGAAACACACGAGATCTTGTGCCGGCAAGTTGTTGATGTGGTTTTGCTTGTGCACTCCACGCTCGAGATTGGATTCCAGCCAAGTGTGTGAGGAATTGTTTTGGCGACCACCAAAAATATCTTGAATTCAGTCAATCTTCTTAAGACCGTAAAAAAGCATAAAAACCCGTAAAAAAACGTAAAAATCTAAAAAAGCGTAAAAACCCGTAAAAATCCATTAAAAAAAAAACATAAAAAAGTGTACAAAAAAACTGAACAATCAAAACATGTTCTGGACCATTCCAGCTCCGCGCGTCGTGTTGCTTGTGCACTACCGGTGGCGTGTCCTACGAGGTGTGTGAAGGCTCAACTAACTATTTTTTTTTGCGGCGCTCGACTTTGCCAATCTTGGATTTGGCCATGGGGAAGACGGGAAAGTTCCTGCGTTGGACCCAGATGAGATTGCTTCCCGATGGAGGTCCAGCACTATTTGTTGTTTGTCGTTCGAGTTATTCCAGACTAGTTCCGATGTTTGTTGCGACAATTCCGAGTTGGACTGCCCATGAGTTTAACATTTTGTTTTCTTGTGATCATGAATTTAAGGCTCGGCTGGCTGCAGAGATCGATCGGGCTATGCAGGCTGATTTCTTGGATCCGACTATGGTCCAAGCTGTGAGTGCCAAGATGACACTTACATGATCTTGCATGGCTTTGAATTGTTTGACACCGCCCTGCCCCCCCCCCCCACTCCAATTTATTTTTGAGGTTGGTCGGGGGTGGGAGCAAATGCGGCATAAGGAGTTCAATGTCGCCTGAGCAGCCTCTGGCAAGCACTGGGTCGTCCTCTGCAGCCCAAACCCTTCCACCTCCGAAGGCGCCAGCAGAAGTGATGGTTCCACCTCCGGAAGCGGTTCCCACCCAAGCCATCCCCG